GCAGCGTCTGGCGTCCCTCCAGGTTTCCCTCAGCCCCAGTGACCTTCTGACTCAGCGGGGAGAGAACCTACCCAGTGAACCGGCACCAGCCCTCGGGGCCGGGGCGAGATTGCACCAGGGAATGCTGGATCCCGCCTGCTACTGCTGCTGCTGCTGCAGCCACCGTGGCCACAGAGCCCCCATGGCCACCACCCCCGGTTCAGACACTTCTGCTGCCACCACGGCCAGCGCCTCCATCACAGCCAGCACCACTGACCCTCCTTGGACACCACCGTGACCACGCTCTGGTCACCACCTCGACTCCTCTTCAGCCACCACTGTGCTCTCCCTTTGGCCACCTCCATGGCCAGAACCTCCACCCCTTCTCAGCCACCACTGAGACCTCCCTTTGGTCACCACCCCTTGGCTTCTACTGCATCCTCTCCTTGCTCACCTCGACGGCCACCTTGAGCTCTCCTTGGCCACCTCCATGGCCACCACTGTGACTCCCCTTGGGCCACTCCTCAACCCCCTCCCCGACACCTCCTTGACCACCTCCACGGCCCCCACCCCAAAACCTTCTTGCCCACTTCCATGGGCCCACTCTGACCCCTCCGTGGACACTTCTGTGGCCACTCCTTGGCCACCCCCATCCACGTCCCTGCCCTGACCCTCCTCACCTACCCCAATGCCTTCACCCCAACCCTTTCATGGTCCCCAACCCGACTCCTCCTCAACCACCTCCTTGGACCCCACCACGCCGCCTCCTTACCCACCACCATGGTCACCACCATGGCCCCTCCGTGCCCACCACCACCACCACCACCACGTCCCCTCCTCGCCCCTCACCTCTCCCGTCCGCCGCCCCCGGGGAGCCGCCGCTCTTCCTCCTCCTCCGCCGCCCGCGGAGCCAGCTCAGTGCCCGGCGCAGGGAGCCCGTCCGGGCCTTCCGCCGCTGCGGGGCAGCCTCCGCCGCTGCCGCTGCTCCTCCGCCGCCGCGCTCCGGGTCCCGCTCTCCGCCCTCCGCAGGTGCAGCCCCGGCGGACATGGCCGCGGCGGGCAGCGCCCCGCACCGCCCCGCACCGCCGGCAGCCGCTGCCCATAGGGCCGGGCCCGCCCGGCTCCCGCTGCAGCCCCGGCCCCGCTCCGGGCTCCCGCCGAGCGCCCGGCGCAGAAGGAAAGTTTCTGCGGGGCGGGGCAGTGCGGGAAGCTCCGCCCGCACCGGGGCCCCCCCCCCCCCCCCCCGTCCCCTCCCGCAGGTGGCCCCGGTGGCGGGGGACACGCACACGGACCCAGGGCACCGGCACCGGGTGACCCCCACCTCGGTGTGTGCACCCCCCCCCGAGGGACCGTGCGGGGGCAACCGGGGGCTGCTCCCACCCTTTGGGATCCCCAATTCCCGTCCCTCCGATCCTGAGCATCAGCGGGGAGAACCGGAGCAAAGCAGTGAGTGCGGGACCGGAGCAAGGAACCACAGCATCGTCATCCCTGCAGCCGTGGCCTGTGGGTCCCGGGGTCCCGCAGTACCATGGCTGTGTCCATCCCCATCCTCAGGAGAGGACCTGGGGCTGGTGGCCATGTCCTGCCCTTGTACTGAGGTCCCCACAGCCATCACCATCCCTTACTTGACAGGCCCAAGGGTGACCTTTACCAATGGCAGCGCCCAGGAGAACACTTCCCAAAGAGCACCCGATCTGGGTGGTACCTGGGGCCGCATGAAACACCCCATGCCACGCTGCTCCAGTGCTGCAAAGGGATGATGACATGTGAGGCATCCCTGCCTATGGCAGGGGGTTGGAACTGGATGATCTTAAGGTCCTTTGAACCCAAACCATTCTGTGATTCCATGATTCTGTGATCCAGCTGCAAGAGGAATACAGGATGCACCGGGCTGGGGTGGCAACGCATCCCAGCAGTGAGCAGGCTGGCAGCAGGACACGGGGACATGGGGCTGGCAAGGAAACAAGTGGATCCTGCTGCATTTCCGTGCTCCCAGCTCAGCCACGTTTGGGTCCCTGGATGTGTTTCCTGATGTGGAAAGCTGCATCGCTGTGTTCAAGCCGCATCCTTCCCGGAGGCTCGCGAGGGCCTGGCCGCCGGCCCAGAGGAGGATGCCAACCGTTGGAAATGACTGGAAGAGTTTATAAAGCGAGCAGCCTGTCCATCCCACCAGCTTCCCAGCCTTTCCATCTCCCGCGGCATTCAGGGGCTGTGCAAACCTGAGTGCTGCTGCTGCTCAGTGGCACTGTGATCAGGGATGGGGACGCAGCATCCAACCTGGGGTGATGGGGCTGGGGCTCACCACGCTTTTGTGTCTCTGCTTCCCGTTCCCCTCCTTCATCCCCTCGAATAACGACTGGAGACTTCAGTGAGTGCTGAAACAGTTGGGAAGCAATTTCCTAGCAGCCTCTTGTCCCCCCATGATCCCAGGGGAATGGCTCCTTCCCAGAGTGTGGGCTGGGTATGAGGTGAACTGCACTGGGGAAAAGCTGATCCCTAACGAGGTGGTTGTGTTGACTTCCCACCGCTGGCTCTGACCGACCTCCAAGTCATCAGCTTCCAGAAAAAGATCCTTTTTCACATCCTACCAAGGCAGAGAGGTGGGGGCTGCCCCAAGAGCCCCCCGTGCCTGATCCCTGGGAGGTCACATCCCAAACATCACCTAAGGGTGCCAGAACGCCTCAGCCACCGGCTGTGGCATTGCACGCTTCAGCTCCTACCCTTTGCACTGGGACAGCACCAGCGCGGTGCAGCCGGGGAGGGCTCTCGCTCGTCCTCTGCCCCATTCCCTGCCCCTCGCTGGGCAGCGGCACTGATGGCAGCTCTCTCATTACTCATTAACACCTCCATCACTTGCAGGCAGCCGGGACAAGGTCCTCTGAGCCCCATGGGTGCTGCTTCCCACCCCGCTGCATCCCTGAGCAGGAGCCTCTTGCTCCACATCCCTCCCGTGGGCCCTGGATCCAGAGCTGGAACTGTTGTTGCTTGCCCCAGGATATGGAAAATCCCAGTAATGAGCCGTGTCCACGGGCGCTCGGGCAGCAGTGACCCTGCAAGCAATCGTTGGGACGTGGGGATTGACTGGTGTGATGGTTTCAATCAGCCCTGCGCTCGCTGCCTTCAAAACGGGGCTTCTACAAGGGTGCCTGGGCCACAAATGTCCCTGGAAAAGGCAAATGTGTCCTTGCCCAGGTGCAAGGAGCCGGTTTCTCTTGGAGACAGGGATTAAACAGCAGTGGTTGCTCTTGCCTGTGCTGGGAAGGGATGGCTCCAACACAGCATCCCGGGAGCATCACCTGCACCTGCAGTGTCCGGCCACGGTGAGCCACGAGAGGCAGCTCCCGCTCCTGTGTGGGCATCCGGATTCAATACAATGGGAAAGCCTGCAGGGAAGCCAGCCCAGCCTCGGCGCATGGTGCTGTGTGGGGCGTGTTTAAAGCCTGGCCCATGGGTGAATGAAGATAAAGCCAAAGGAGTGAAAGTGTGGGAGCAGAACCCCCCCCCCATCCCCACTCTGCTCCCGTGGCTGGGCCGGCGTCTCCCTTGGGAGCAGCTATGGTAGGAACGGGGATCTCCTCGTCCCTCCTTGCCTCAGGGCTGGGCAGGACCCAGCACCCAGATAAGCCAGAGCCGCCGGCGCCTGTGGCCTGAGGGCAGGCTCCGGCTTCCAAGGTCCCTGTGGCATGGACGGCACCTTCGGGCTCCCCCTTCCACCTCTGCCCTGGCTGGGCCCAGGCCAGCGCTGAGCCCCTCTTCCTCCTCCTCCAGCCCCACAGGGTGACCTTGCCTCCCCTTGCAGGATCTGCCCCAAGCCTCTTTGCATGGGCTGCCCTGGGAGTTCTGAGTCGGATCCAGCACCTCCACGGGTGCAGGATGAGCCCAGCTCCTGGCACTCAGTCGTGGTGCTCACCCTGTGCTGTCTCCCACAGCAGCATCCCCACGGCACCCTGTGCCCGTGCTGGGCCCCAAGGTGGGAAAGTCACTGACAGCTCTCAGCTGGGGAAACTGAGGCAGGAGGTGAAGTGAACCAGGCTGCACCCAAAGGACCAGGATCCATCCCTGGAAGCTCTCCCTGCCCCTGCAGGGATCACCCTTTCCCCCTGAGATCAGCTCCTGCGCACGGATCCGGCACCACTCACCCTGCCGCAGCCGGCACAGGGCTGCGGTGAGCAGCGTGCAGAGGGCGCTGAGATGGAGGCATCGCCCAGGCTCAGCAGCTGAATCCCAACACTGGGGTCTGGGCAGATTGGGCACCACTGGTGCTACTCCAGGGAGGACTCGGAGCTGGCCAAGCCTCCCTCAAGACCTAAACGTTGTGGGAGGACAGCAGGGAGCCACCGCCAGAGCTGCTGTTGTGGTGCCAGGGGGGCAGTGCCAGGACAGCTGATGGAGGACGGTGAGGCCACAGCGCGGGCTCTGTCCCTGCCTTTGGGGCAGATCCGCTGTGTGTGATGGGAAGGAAAAGATCCACTGGGAAAGGGCATGGCAGCACCAAGTCATTGGAGTGGAGGCAAAGTGACCCAAACCTGCTCTTTGCTCCCCACAGCCCCCGGGTCCAGCGGTGGGGCAGTGCCCGGAGCCATTCATTCCCACAGCCGGAACATTCTGTCCCCCCTGCCTTTCCCATTCCCCCCCCCGGCCACACGGCCGGTGACTCCCTGCCAGCTCTGTTTGCAGGGCAAAGTCCGCTCCGAAGCACGGATGACGGCGGCTCCCGGTGCCGGCCGGACCCAGCACGTGCCCAGGCTCTGCCGAGCGCTCCGGGGTCCGGTTGTGACACCGGAGCCGGCCGTTGCTTGGTTATAGCCACAAAACAGCCCCATGCGGGGCCGGGGCCCCGGTATCCTCTTACTGAGAACAGCTGAGGTGCTTCAATCCCCACCCTGCCCTTGGCACCGCATCACATCAACCCCAGCCAGGGCTTGGCAGCGCTGCTGCCGTCGGCCCCCTCCGAGGGTCTGTTGGTCCCAGCACACCCAATAGACCCACGGGTTTCTCCCCTTGGCGCTTTCAGCGCTGGATGGATGTTTATACCCACAAGCTGTGGGAATTAACAGCATTCCTCTCCTATTGAGTCAAAAGTCTCGGCACAAATAGAGGCGCTCCATGGAAAAAAAAGGGAGCACAAGAAGGTGTGTCGTGCTGGAAAAAGCAGGAGGATCCAAAAAAAAAAGGGAAGGAAAAAAACGCACCCAAATGTCCCTTTTCCTTTTAAAGCCCTGCTCCCGGAGGATGGGCAAGCGCAGGCGCTTCCAACCTGATCTCACAGCCGGGCTGGGCAAGGTGCTGGTGGCGCTGGTGGCACTGGCGACGGGTGGCACTGGGTGATGTTGTAAGCTCTGGGTGTGTTGCTGGGCGATGTTGGGGCACGTAAGCTGGTGACTTCCTGAGCGGAGAGTGCTGACTTCCTGAGCCGTGGTGGCAGCACCAGGACTGGGGCTTGGCCAAGGTAGGTTTGGTTGGCTCCGGTGCCATGGGGGATGGCTGTGCTGTGAGCCCAGGCTGTGGCACCCGTGCCAATAGAGCTCAAATATGGGGTTTAGATACATTTAGGTTAATAACATAACTGCCAAAGGGCCAGTTTGGGATGTCAGAGTGGGGAGGATGAGGATGGGAGCTATGGAAAGCAGTTGTGGCGCGCAGTGAAGGTGGCAGTGAGGGCAGCGATGAGGGCATTGTCACTGCAGGGTGCTCAGGAGTGCACCCACAGGATAGACTACCTCCTCCATCCCCAAAGCAAAGGAGGAAGGGGAGGCAGGGATGAGTTATGGGAGGAAGGGGAAGCAGAGGCTGCGCCCTGCCACTACTGGCTTGTTGATGGGGCCAACTTGGGGCATCTAAAGAACCCTGTGTTTAATGTGTTTAATACATGAATAGGCTTTAATAGCACACAGCATCCTGGAGCACCCCGCTCCTGGTCAGGATGAGGCCGCAGCACTCGGTGCCCATGTGCTGCATCCTCCTGTGTTTCCCCTTCCTGCTGCCCGTGTCACAGGCACAACCCTGCACAGCCCCAGAGGGGGACCCACCGGGGCACCCCATCGCAGCCCCCTTGCAGGATGGGATCCCCCAACACTGTGGGGAAGGAGGGTTTGAGGTTGCACAAAGCAAACCTCCGCTTTAAATCACGGGTGGGAGCAGCCGGAGCGGGACGGGGGGATGCTCCCTAGGGATGCGGGCTGGCTGCAGCCAGCCCCTGCGGCTGCCTCTGCCGGGGATGCAGACGGCTTGGCCTTCCCCTCCCTCCTCCTCCTCCTCCTCCTCCTCCTCCTCCTCCTCCTCCTCCCAGGGGCGGAGGGAAGCAGCCCCCGGCGCTGCAGGCGGTGGCCGGGAGAAGCGGCTGCTCCGGGAGTCTGATTTCCAGCCCCGTTTATTAATAGCCCCCCCCCCCGCCCCATGCTGAGCCCATGTGCACCGCAGAGCCGGAGGCGCCGGGCTCCAGGGGAGGAAGGTAAGAGCCCCCCCCCCGGGGCGAACAGCGGTGAGTGGGGACGGGGCTGGGGTTCACCCATGGGTGCGGGTGACGGGGGTGGTGGGACCCAGGGACACGGGGGGATCTGAGGTTCCATCCCTGGACCCTCAGAAGTGACTGGAGTGGGGGGGGGGGGGGGGGAACGGCCCCTTTGGGGTACCAAGGAGTGTTGGGGAGCCCTGGGATGAGGGGTGGTGTGTGGGGCCGAGCCTGCACCCCGCTGGGAAGGCAGGATGCGTGCCCTGCGCTCCCACCCTGCCCGTGAAAGCAGGGCTGAGAACTTTGAGAAATGAACCCTGGCAGCGGGGCAGGGTATGGAAAACCGAAGCGGAGCCTTTCCCTACCTTTCCCAGGCACTGCCCCCTCTCCGGCCCTTGAGCCCGGGCTGGGATGTGTCAGCACCGCTGAAAACTCCCTTATTAGGAGAGAAAGTACCGGTGAAAATCAGTTCTTTCCTTAAAGCCGTTGCTGCGAGTGCCAGCCTGCGCTCATTCCTTAGGGAATGACTAGACATGAGCTCAGCAGCGGGGCCGGGAGGTGAGAGCATCCTCCTGCCGAGCCCACCGGCTCCTGGAGGCAGCGGGAGAAGCCCCGGCTCGGTCCCTGAGGATCGTCCTGTACATCCAGCCCCAGATAGCAGCCGGGTGGATGGGAGACGTGGGTATTTCGTGGTGGCAGCTGCAGGTACCGGGGCTGGGGACAATGTCAGGGTCGATGACTCTGCAAAGAGGAGCTCGCCCGGCTCCTGCTGCAGAAGCCGCTGGCCCAGGCGCTGCGTGTGTGGTGGTTGACTCCATCGGAGCCATCTCGGAGCCCGCCTGCGCTTTAGCAGCACATTCCCTTCCCGTGAGGTTATCTCACCCTGCTGCCATCCCGGCAGGTTTTACCGGGAATGCCCCCTGCCAGTCACACCGGTGCTGCTGGGGCTGTGACACGGTGGCAGTTCCATTGGCACCGGAGCAGCTCTTGGGTTTGGGGTGCAGGCTGGCATCCCTCGCTCCTTCACCATGCAGTCACTTTAAGAGGGTTTTCTTCCCTCGTTTTTGGCCACCCCAAAGCAGAGTTTCGGTCCAAGCTATCACTGAGGGTGCAAGCACAGCACAGCCTCATTGACACAGCCTAGGGGTGACAGGGGCACCCACATCTCACCAGGTGGAGAGGAAGGGCTGAGACCTATTACTGTCACTGCTCTGGTTCACCTCTCCTCTCCCTCCCAGGGACCTGATGGCAGAGCCCAAGCCCCCTTCAGAGCCACGGCTGGATGAAGCTGGAGCACCCACAGCAGGAGCTGCTCTGAACCCGGACCCTGCACACAGCCCATTGGACTCTGCAGTGGGTCTGGGGCTGATGCCCCAGCCTGGGGACAGCCCCGACGCCTGCCAGGACCTCCAAACAGATGGTGGGAATGCTGACTTGGAGACAAACGTGCCCCAGCTGGACCAGGATGCAGCGGAGACCAGGATCCCATTGGACATGGATGTGGCAGGAATCCCGCTGGACGTGGATGCAGATAAAGCAGGGGTCCCACTGGATGTGGATGAGACAGGGATCCTGCTAGATTTGAACGCAGGTGGGACAGGGATCCCACTGGATATAGATGCAGATGGAGCAGAGATCCCGCTGGATGTGGATGAAGCAGGGATCCCGCTGGACGTGGATGGGGCAGGAATCCTTCTGGACGTGGATGCAGATAGAGTAGGGATCCCGCTGTACATGGACACAGGCAGGGCAGGGATCCCAGCTGATGTGGACACAGACGGGGCTGGGATCCCGCTGGACATGGATGCAGAGGGGGCAGAGGGCACGGAGCAGAAGTGCCTGACCCTGGAAGAGCTGGGGGACTACTTCCAGGAGTGCATCGAAGCCGTGGAGCAGCTGGAGCAGGAGAGGGACAGCCTGATCGCAGAGCTGGGGCAGCTCCGGGAGCCGGCGCTGCAGGAGATCCACCATGCCCATGAGGAGATCCAGGCTGCGTGCCGGCTGCTGGCCAAGGTGGAGCTGGAGCGGGACAACCTGAAGGATGAGATCCGTCAGATCAAGCAGAAGCTCTTCAAGGTGACCAAGGAGTGCGTGGCTTGCCAGTACCAGCTGGAGAGCCGGCGGCACGACCTCTCCCAGCACGCCGCTTACCGGGGCGAGCTGGAGACCCAGGCGGGGCAGCTCTCCGGGGAGCTCTCCCAGCTGAAGGAGACCTGTGAGAAGGAGAAGGAGGCTTTGAGGCAGCGACTGGAGGCTCCCCCGTGCCGCCAGGATAACCTGTACCTGCAGGAGAGCCGCCGGCTCTCCATGGAGTTCGAGAGCTTCGTGGCCGAGAGCCGGCGGGGACTGGAGGAGCACTATGAGCCCCAGCTGCTGCGGCTGCTGGAGAGGCGCGAGGCGGGTGCCAAGGCGCTGCAGGAGGTGCAAGGGGAGCTGCAGGGGATGAAGGAAGCCCTGCGGCCCTTGCAGGGGGAGGTGAGCCAGCTGCGGCTGCAGAACCGGAGCCTGGAGGAGCAGATCGTCCTTGCCAAGCAGAAGAGGGATGAAGAGGTTGGGCAGTACCGGGTACGCGGCTGAGCATCCCTTGCATGTGGGTCAGAGAGGAGGGGGTGTTCTTTGCACCCAGCGATGTGTGGGTGATGAAGGGGGTGCTCCAAGGGGTGGATGGGGAGGGTAAGGAGATGGGATATCTCCTGTTGGTTGAGGTCAAAAGCATCCCCTGTCAAGAGGGATGTGGTGGGAAAGTGCTGAGGCTTCACCCGATGAGCTGCCAGGAAAAAGGGTTCTCCCGATGCTATTCCCACTTGGGTTTGAGCTGCCCCTTGGAAATGGCCCCAGTGAGCAGGGATGCGGCAGAAGGATGGGGGGCTCCTTCCCAGAGCTGAGCACAGGCACCCCACGCTCCCCACTTGTGCAGGGCTGAGCTCAGGCTCTTGGGGAAGTCAGTTTTACTTCCAAAAGGCATATCCTGCCCTTCCCACCACCAGGAAGGGTCCCACCTCCTGCACTGGCAGCCCAGGGGCCGGGCTGCTTCCCTGGAGGGTTATTTCTGGCTGCACCCAGCCTCCCCCCCTGCACCTTGTCCTGAGGGATGAGGCAATTCAATATCTCTAAGAGCACATTTGGCAAAGAGGCTCCACAATTAATCTCCTCCTTTTCAACACTCCCTGTTCTCAGCTCGGATCCGCTGCCTCCTTCCCAGCCTGGCTCTGAGCAGCTTCTGGAAGCCAACATTCCCTCTCCATGGCACCTCCTCCTTGCTGGGCTGGGGACCAGGTCACCCATCACACTGCTCGCCTTGGGTTTCAGGGGCCGCCCTCCCTTGGAGGACAGGACTTTGGGGCACTCCACTCTTCCATGCTCCCACATGCCTTGTTTGTCTTCCCCTGACCCATGGGTTCTGGCAGCTTCTCCAAACACACCCAGAGCAGCTGAGGGGACAAAACCAACCAGCTGAGAGAAGCTGAAGGACCCAGCACATCCCAGCCCAGTCCAAGCTCTTACCTTCGTAACAAACCAAGGTGGTTTTGCAGATGTCTTTAAACCATGGGCAGGCAGGTCCCTCAGTGGGAATGCAGGCAAGGACAGCCTTCCTAGCCCAGCTAATCCACTCTCGTGCTCTTCCTTGCCAGGAACAGGTCGAGGAGCTGGAGGACAGGTTGAAGGAGCTGAAGAACGGAGTCCAGCTCCAGCAGCGCAAGAACCAGGAGCTGGAGGAGCTGAGGACCAGCCTCCACCGGGAGCTCTCCATCTACAAGTGCGTTTGTGTCTCATCCCGGTGGTGCAGAGGGGCTGGGAGGAGGAGGAGGATGGTGGTGAAGAGGCTGCTGGTGGTCACAGAGCTTTCAGACACCACCGGCTCTTGGCCTGGTTCCTGGGCACGTGTGAGCAAAGGGTCTGGTGGGGCAGCCCAATGGGAACTGCAGCTCCTCTGCCCAGCAGCAAACAGGGAGTTGCTGGAAGTTCCTGGGCACAGGGGCAGTGGAGGTTGCCTTCCCAGAAGCTGGTTTCCTTTGGAATCTGTGGGCAGGAGCTGAGGTTTAGGTTTGGGAAGCTCTTGTGGATGCTTTCCCTTGAGAGAGAACTGTCTTCTGGTTTCATCAGGTCTTCAGCACACGGGATGAAGAAAATGGCCCTAAGTTTGGGGACTGTTTCACTCACCAGACTTTGCTGTGTGTTACTGCAGCCCCAGCTGTACACACTTCATCCTCTGCAGCTTCACTCTCACTTCAGCATCCTTTACTCCCCTTCTCCACCCAACCCTCCTCACGCAAGCTCTGCACATTCCCTACCACCGATAAGATTGGTTTTATCTAGGTAAGACTTTAGCGTGACAAGGACAGGCGAAGAGATCTCCATGTCAGCCTGGCATGGCACCAGCCATTCCAAGATGGATTAAGGAGAGGGACTGTGTTAAAAATTCAGTCCAGATCCCAACACAAGGAAAGGGAAAAGGAAAGGGGAAAAAAGACCCTGTCTGTGCTGCTCAGGGTCCTTCCAAATCCGAGACCTAAAGCCCAGACTAGCACTTGAGCCTGGGCGCAGCAGCCCAGTCTCTTCCCACACAAATTGCCATCCCTGGAAGCTCCTCGGGTATCAGGACACCTCAGTAAGTGTCACATTTGCAGCAGTAGGGACCTCACAGCTCTGAGCTGCCTCTTCCCATGGATCCCATTAAAAATTACATTCCCTGTTACAGCTGGGGTGTTTGCCAAGGGCTCTGGAAGGGCCAGGCTGGATCCAGATGCTCACCAGACCATGATTACTGAGCCAGTTTAAGTGTTTCCCAGTTAGTTCTTTCATACTGTGAAGAGAAATAATGGTTTTCAGAAATAGCATGTCCCCTTTCCCCGTTTTCTCCATGGGTAACTCCCATGAACATTCAGGTCCCTGAACTGACTTTCTACCCCTACAGGAGCTGCTTAGAAATCTATGGCCACCTTTGCAAATCAGAAGACAAAACAGACCAGGATTGTCAAGAATGATGGATTTTTCCCTCTCTGTAGCAGGAGTAAGGGACAGACGGATCTGCAGGGGACATCTCCTCTTGCTGCTTACCCTACCCGAGGCCCAGCAGCTGCCTGAAGTCAGGAATACTGGACAATCACTTGTGTGTATTTCTCAAGGTGCTGCTGGTGATCGAGTAGTGAAAACTGCTGAGCAAATACTTGCACTGAACTGTGGACACAGATGAAGACTAACAGATGTATGCTGTGCTGTGTTTGGGAAAACACGTCTTGGGGCAGGGGTGGAGAGTATGAGCCTGCCCAGGAATCAGTGTTCTGGGAGCCAGTGTTACAGAGTGGAGTTTTAAAGTTTACAGGCAAGGGAAAGGGAAGCTTTATGCTTTTAACAGGGTTTTCTTTTGTATTTCAAGGGCCTTTGCTGTACTGGGACATGCTCCACCACGGGCCACAGAAACGAGTTTGTGGACAATAGGTTCCCACTTTATATAAAGTCTCACACTGAAAATAAAGGTCAGAGTTTAAGGATACTTTAATTGTCAAAGGTGTATCTCAATGAGAAAATAGGCTGTGTCAAACCAGGATCCTTTTATCAAACTATTCAGGCTGCAGACTAACAAAACCCCATCCTTCTGGGGCAAGGGCTAAAGGCAGGCCCAAAATCCAGGCAGCAGCACGCTCCAGGTGAAAGCAACACCTCAGTACAGTGGCAACTTGTGGGTATTATGTTCTCATTTCACACAGAAAGCAGTGGAAACAAGAGGGGCAGAAGCATCCACATGGTACAAACACAGGGATGTCTGTCCCAGCCCCCCGTCCCACAGGACACACACCCATGGGCAAAGCTCACACTCTGCTTTCTGAAGAGAGGTGCATTTTCCTCTCCACAAAGGGAGTTTAAGGCAGAAGGAAAACATCAGCACAACAAAAACATCAGCCCAAAGCTCCACAGCACTTACGTAGAAAAAATTTATTCCATCTGAAGCACTTACACGCAGTTAGTCATGAGGAGCATGGAGAGTAACAGGCTGCTGGTGGAACAGGACACCCTAGTGAAGATGTGCAGAAACTAGTGGTCAAGGACTAAACTCCTAAAACAAGTAGCTCATCCATGTTTGATTTGCTTTACACATACCAGCTACCAATGGTGTTGGAGGTTACTGGGCATGCCATCTGTGATACATCAGCTGGTATAAACAGACACCTTTACAACCTGGGGGCCCCAAGTCTTAAAAACCATTTCACAGAAAGGAAAGAAATAGATGTGAAAACACAGCTCAAGAAACACACAATAGAGCAAAATACATGGAAGGTGAATGATGCTCTGCAGGAATAGCTAAGGAATGCAAACCGCTGTCACCCAGCAGATGGGAGAAAAGGGAAAGGAAGGAAGGAATGAAAAACCCAGAATTATCAGTAGAGACCAAAAGATACAGGAAGAAATTTAACTTCACGTCAGAATCTGCAAGCCTGTATCTGCAGAGGCAGAAAAATCCACAAGGTACAGATTAAAGGAATCCCAAGACTTCAGAGTTGTGCTGAAGAGGATGACACCTTCCACACTCTGACCTGCCAGTGGATTAACTCTTGTATCATCTCCATTGGCTCAAGCACACTCTAGTAGCTCTACTGATTTAACCTTTCAAATGAGACAAAAGTCTGCAGCTGAAGCAAGCTAAAGACAGAAGAAAAACCAACAAAACCCAACTCTGCTCTGTGTGATGAAGGCAGTGAAAATGGGACAGCCAGCCCTATGTGCAAGAGGAATACGGCTGAGGAGCTACAGCATGGTGGCTGCTGCACTGGGCTAAGCCCTCACGGGGTACTCACTGTCTGGGTTAAAAAGCCTGTTGATGGTATCTACAGAAGGATGGCTGAACACAAAGTCTACGTGTGTCTCAAAACCAGTGTTAAGTCAATATCAGGGTTGAAAGGGAAGAGAAGGAAAAAGACTAGAAAGAGGAAAAAGGTTGTGATCTAGGATCCTTGACCTTCTGGATCCACGCTTCCTTCGGGGTCTTCATCATTATAGATGTTCTCCGCCTGCAAGACAAGAGATGGAGGAACTGGAGAAGCATTTCCCACCGCAGCAAATGGGATTCCATCTGCTAGAACTGTTCAAAAACTGGCAGCTTTTCACCTGCAGGTATCACCCATCCCTGGTCCCTCAAGGCCATTTACATTACAGAAGTAAAACAAACGATCCTTTTCAGAACAGCCACATCTCCAAAACATTTCCTAAGCCCCCTGTAAGTTACTGTAGCTTGTGGAAATCTGCCTTGTTAAATCATTGCAAGATTTACTTCAACAAACAGACTATTTCCTGTACATTATGAGGTCTTCCACTTAGCAGCAGCATCTTCCACAAGAACTGTATGAATAAAGCCCCTGTGAAACCAGTTATAGATAAAAAAAACCAACTTCTAAGTATCTGTAAACCATTGTTTCAGCCAAACCTAAAGTGGATTTCACTGTCCCTTCGAGATTCATGCAGTGCTACTGAGTAATTCCAAGAGCTGTAAATAAAACCAGGGATGCTGAAATCCAGGCAGCAAAACAGCATCTCTCACCTGCCCCTTCCCAAACAACTTACCATCTGCCAGACTTGCATGATATTATCTTCTGATACAGAACAAATTACCCAGGGCTCATTGGGATTCCAGGAGAAGTCCGAGATCTTTGCAGTGTGACCACCATGGATAAACTAGCATTGGGGATAGAAAAAAAAATAGGGAATGTTTTCAAATCTCCATTGCAAAGATGAGTAATAGATCAAGATAGTGAGATTCAAAAGACTTGCCAACAGCTCTGGGGGACCATCCTCAGCATCTTCAGGGGATTGCTCTTCTCCAATTTTACTGTTTAAAAAGAGAGGAAAATGGAAAGGTGAGGGGTTGGTTGTTCAGCTTTTGCAGTGTGATGCATTTCCTAATATCACCTTGTCAGGACAACATGAGCAGTTTGGGATTTACCTCAAGTCCCAGACGTTTAGTCTACGGTCAGTGCCACTGGAGGCCAGGATAGTTTCATTATGGGGAGACCACTGAACCTACAGGCAAGGATGAATTTAGAAAGGAAGTTAGTTTGGAGAAGCTGTAACATGACAGACATTCACAACTAACACCACTGTGTTTTGCACCATGAATGATCTGTGAGAATTCCAATTGATAATATGTCCAATAATAACACTAACACAAGTTTGTGAACATTCATACAACGACAAGGCATCTGAGCATCAAAAAGGTACCACATTAACCTTTCCTCTAACACAGGCCACGTATTACAAAGTGCAAACAACTCTCAAGGGCAGGAGCTGTCCCTTACCTTAGTGAGGACTGCACAAATGTAAACTACAGATTCCTCAAGTAAAAGGTACAGTTTACACATGAAAAGAAATCAGTTATTAAGCTGAACTGCCCAAAACCTCACATTTAGTCCTTCTGCTAGAGCTAAATCTCTCCAAAACATAGCAGTTAATAGGATCACAGGATTAGAAGAGAACACCTCATTCCGCACGCTAACCCCACATTTCAGGATTCCATGTGTAATTTTATTTAGGGGTAACTACTAGGATTAACTAGTAATCCTTCTACAAAAAAAAATCTCTGCATATTTCTCTTCCGAGTAAGGCATGAGATGGAAATACTGTATCTGCCCTGCATGTGCTACCTATGATGCTAACATTCTATATTTACACCAGCAAAATTAGCAATTGTTCACCGTCACAGAATGTTCTTGAACGGGTCTGGCTAAAGCCTTCCAACAGGACCAAGCTGAGCAGCTGAAAACACTGCAGCCATTTCATTGTGCCTCCCTGCTTCAATCCGCTGCCATGAATAATTCACATCTACTCAGTGCTGCTAGCATTTCACCCTGCTGGGTGGTTAAAGCTCTACACCAGCTCCTTGTTACATTCTGCCCCTGGCCTGCTGGGCACTCTTACTTGTACTGGAGCTCTTCCCCCCCCAGAAAGCACCATCCAGCTCCACAACAAGCCACAAAATAAGCAGATAAGAAGAATGAAAGAGGGTTGAAGTGCATTTAATAAAAACATGGAGTGGAAAAACATGGTTTTCATTTCTGCAGACAGCTAACTAGAACTATGTGCATAAAAGACAAAGACATGTTGCTATACCTGAAATATTTCATCTTTGTGTGATTCAAACGAGTGCAGTTTCAGTTTCAAGTTCCTCAAGTCCCATAAAGCAACAGTCTAGGAAAAAAAGGAGAAAGCCATTTTTCATTGATGTAACCACTCAGCCACCAGAAGCTAACCATGCTCCAAGTTCAAGGTAGATGTACCTTATCAGCTGATCCTGTAGCCAGGATAAACTCACTGTAGGGATTGAAAGAGAGGCAGTTGACTTCAGCTGTGTGAGCATCCACTGAATGACTAGGTTTAGAGGTGTTGTTTGACCGAGTATCCCAACTGTAAAAGGAAAAAACATGGAACTGAAACAAAGATTTATATCCCATTTTACTGAGGAGCAGATAGGAAAGCAAGAGGGACAGGACTCAGTTTCTGAAGACACTACCCCACTTACATCATGAGCTTCTGATCATCAGCAACAGATCCAAAAAGAGATTCATGGAGCAGGTGCCAAGATACATCTTCCACTACTGCTGTATGCCCTGTGAAGATGGTCTTTGCATCCACCACTTTGCCTTCCTTTGGAACAGCACTAATATCCCACAAGCAAATGGTCTTTAAAACATATAAAAAACAGTTAAAACAACTTATCTTTGAAGGAGACACTCTCCTCACCTCCTCCCCCTCAAAAACTGCACCAGTTTTGACCTTTTCCAAGGGATACTTGGTGCAGGTTGTACCCCAACTCTATATGAGGTACTCACATGATCATCAGAAGCACTAAGCAAATGCCCGCTCAGGTTTGGGTTCCATGACAGCCCATAACCTTCCTTCTGGTGTCCACGAAGACGCAGATCAGGGTTACACTCTCCAGAAGGGTCTGTAAAGAGGCAATGTAAAAACTCTAGTGCCTAGTATCATTCCCAGCACATCCTGGAATACCAACCATTGAGCTTCACCATGCTTTACTGATCTTTGCTTTGATATTTTCAACAGGATCCCTCTCTCTACCTTTTGAGCATTTTCTCTGGCTGAAAAATCACCTCATTAAAACAGAATACACTGAGACAACTCAGTTTGTCTTCTTAGCTTAATAAAAGCACACTGCAGATCATTCCAAGCTGCCTTTTTGTGTGTGTGCGTGTGGCTGGATGGTCCAGAAGCAGTCAGTCCAGTCTAAATTAGAGCTACAGTATCTACAGAGGAGTCAGAGAACCTCTTTTTCACTACATCAACCATGCTTGAAGGGCTGGCTGAACTCTGAAGCACAGGCATAACAAAGAAGCAGACACCTGGTTTAGAAGGGTGCTTGGTGTAATCAAAGACAAGGACATCACTGGATGGAGTCTTCGTGGCGATGATGCATGGGTTCTGTGGCATGTAACGTGCTCTGTTCACTTCCCCCTCGTGGTTTATCTTGATTTCAATTTCGATTTTTCC